GGGGTCTTCATTTTTCCCTCCTTGGAAGGATGGAAGGCTGAGTCAACCCTGAGCCGGTGTGATTTGAACCGCTGAACTGCTGATCTAGCAGTAGCCTGCAGTGCTGCATTTAACCACTGCGCCACCTCGGCTCTTAAATGTTCTTCAATGTCCTTGTTCAGAACAATCCAGAAGATTTTTGCATGCCATAAACCTGGGTTCTATGTGTGATTAACATTCAAATCAATTAATTCCATTTTAATGTTGAGTTTTCCAAAGATACTCTCAAACATTCACTTCTTGAGATTATTGTCCTCCTCCACCTTAAGATCTCTTTGTTTTATTCAAACTTGGAAACAATACCATGATCTTTAACCTATAATATATATAGAGGAAATAAACTTCTTTTGGCTTATCCTTCATCTATTTTTATCATCTATTTTAATTAAATTGTTACATTTAAAAAAAACCTGTTAATAACTCATTGAAAAGACACACAAAGAGAAATCATGCAAAGGGGCAAGGAATGTTGTTGGAATTTCCTTTTTTTAAAGTCCCCCCTCCCTTAGAATTCTATTCCTGGTATCATATTTTGGAATTCATAGCTTGGCTTCCTATTGTAGCACCCCACAGAGTTATGTTTTTAAGAGTACTATGCTTACAGCTTTGCGTAAGGGAAACCACAGGAAAAGTTGGTTAGTTATGCAATGTAAGGAATGAATCTTACAGTCATTTATATAAATATATACCATATAAACATTATGCTGTGTATGTGTGTGTATATTTGTATTATGAAAAATAATTATTTTTTTAATAATATGATATATTTAATAAAAATAACCTGTTCAATGAGATGAAAATGGCTGAAACCTTAAGTATATTTCCTTGATGTATTGGATTCCATAGAATAATGTTCTTAAGGGGCCATCTTACATTCTACATTGACCAAGTTAAGTTTACATGCAAGATGTTATCCAAACCCTATTTGAAGATATTTGGGAATCTACTTACCACACAAATGTAGAAGAAGGTAGTGCAGTATCTCATTGCCAGTTTTCACCTTGGATTTCTCTTAGATTCAGCTCTTCCTGAGCGAAGATTACTTTTATTCCCTAAATCTCAGAAGGCATTTGAAGGCTGTGTGCTCTCATCTTCATTCTTGCCAATTTAGAAATATTGAGAATGAGGAAGGAAATTCCATTTCCCCGTGAAGGTCAGCATCAGAAAACGTGGCACTCTCATTCCTTAACAAAAGGAAAGAAAAATAAACCAACTTGCACACCTCTCCTCATCCAATCTTCACATAGATATTTGGAGGTATGATCTCATGGGATTGCCGGGGGCATAGAGTCATGAGCTTCAGGCCTTCACTGCAATCAGGCAAGTTTGAACAGCTGGCTCACAACCCTAAACCTCATTTATATCTTATTATTGAGCATTGAGGTCTAACAGTGTTGTCTATTGGAGTGGGGTGAAGCATAAGAAAGTCAAAGGGGTAGCCATGACTGTGACTCATGTAAAATGGAACAGGACTTTGATTGCCTAGTTGCAGAAATTCTGGTTCAATTGTGGTCATAAAATGAGAACTACCTATATGCTATCTAGCATATATAAACCATACATTATTTAATCATGTTGTTCTTTGACCTAACTTGTGACTAACTAGTTTGTACTGTTTTGCCTTTTATTTCAATAGTATCGGACAGCTCTGGGGGCATTTGCTGCATGTTTTCTTTTCAAGGAGCTCTCACTCTCACTCTTACTTGTGTTAACACTTCTGTTTTTATTACTTTGTTGGATTATTTTGTTCCTCTGGGAAATTCAAAAATGCCAGCGTTCTCTTTCATCCCACCTGATATTGTTTAGAGATTTGTCTAGTAAGTACTTCCTAAATATATTTACAGAAGAAGTCTGAGTAATCTGATTACATTTCACAGAAACATATTTACCTATGTATATGTACATATGTTTAAATGAAAATTGAAGTTCTTTTACAGATTAATTCATTTTGGAGTAAGATACGACTTTTATCCTTGCCTAAAAAGGATGTGGTGGATCAGTGGCTAAAGACTGACCTTGTCAATCAGAAAGGTCAGCAGCTCGGCAGTTTGAATCCCTAGTGCCACGTAAAGGAGTGAGCTCCCATTACTTGTCCCAGCTTCTGCCAACTTAGCAGTTCAAAAGCATGTAAAAATGCAAATAGAAAAATAGGAACCACCTTTGGTGGAAAGGTAACAGCGTTCCATGCACCTTCGGTGTTTAGTCATGCCGGCCACATGACCATAGAGATGTCATTGGACAGTGCTGGCACTTTGGTTTTGAAACGGAGATGAGCACCACCCCCTAGAGTCGGGAACGACTAGCACATATGTGCGAAGGGAACCTTTACCTTTACTAAAAAGATTTAAATATCTGAAGCCTGATCACAATTATTCATAAACACTCTGAAATGTTGTTGCTATCAAACGTTTCTCATAAAAAAAAAACGTTTTCATCATTTTGGTGGAAGCTTCAAAGAAGCTGAGTTATCAATATACCAGGAACTCTTAATTCTTTCTGTAAATCCTTGAACCCTGTGAAAAATGTAAATATCAAGCATTTTTAGTGTTAATGTTTTTCTTGAAAAAAGTTGCCATTTCCTCAAAATCTCATTAGTTTATGATACATAATAAATTATTAACATGTCAGCCATGTGTATGTACAACTCTTAAGACTGATAATTTTTAAAATTTATTTGATTTAAAAATTTATATCTGCCTGTCTCAGTGAGGGGGGTTAAATGTTCATAAGCAATTCTATTCAACCATGTAATCATTTAATCCACCTAACACCTAATTTGAAAACTATAAATAGCCTGAATAAAAAGAAATGTTTTATGAAAAAAATGCCTCATGATTAAAGTTGTTATTCAATGTGGAACAGGAGGTGGTGAAATGTCCTTCACTGAAGAAGTTTACATAGAAGATGGAGGGCCATTTGGTAGAGTTAGATTCCAATATCCCTTCCAAACTACATATTCTATTAATCTGAAGTATCTCCTAAAAATAATTTAGAGAGGACCAGCTTCATTTCCACTGTCTAGTTTTTAAATAGCCTAAACCCCCTCACAGAAAAGCAGGATTAGTTCTTGATGTTAAGCATATCTACATTATGCTCCACAAGGTATCCAGTCAAAGGTGGCACTTAATGGAAAAGGGAGGTCCTCTAAAGTAATTGCTTTGATGTGGATATATCGATGTGGATATTGATAAGTTAAACCTTGCATATGCAACATAAGGGGTTCATCAATCAGGGAATACTTATGTATACATAATACTATTATCTACCTGACTGGCTTTTATACAGGCATAAAAAATTCTATTAAAACAAATATTGTCATAAAATCAAGTCTACAACCCTAAATTTAATGAGTCGGATTGGTTTTTTTCCTGGGTGCTTACTCTATAAGTTGTCCTTAGTTAAAAACTAGCCTGGGAAGAGTGCCATCCTGTTAATCTTAGCTTTTGAACACGAAAAGAGCAATAGATGAAATTGTGGTTATGATAATGAGGATTTCTAGCAGGCCACTTTTGGCAGTTGAGAGGGAATGGTGGTTTTGTCTTACAAAACTACTTGCAAAAAAACACTTTTGGATTCGGTTAGACTACAAATAGTGAACAGGGATAAGTCTATCTAAGATTTGCCTGTGCTAATTTACATATGCATGAGGTAAATACAATTATGGTTATCTTAAATAGAATTTTACCTTTCAGCCTAATAATGAAGACGATGAATTGCCGATATTGTGCCTGCTGACTACTGATACATAATATTTAGGCCCCTGTTATCCCTAAATGAACTTTGGAGTTGGCAGCCCTTCAAATAGAAGAGGCCTTCATCTGACAGATTCTTTTCTGAAAATAGGATACTTGCTGGGGTGTCCATGATATGGGCAATGGGTCGATTAATGGTCAATGTTATGATTTTAATTATGTAGATCACATAACTCATACTGTTTCTGCTATGCTGTTAGGATGCATGTGATTTTATAGTGATTTGCTTGAGATTCCTGTAGATTCATCACCACATTCCTTCATCTGCATCTCCTGCTTTGTCCTTATCATGATTATGCTCAAAGCTCCTTGAAATGCCTTGCAGATTAACACCTTGAAAATATGTAAACTGCTGGTTGGAAATCACTGAGGACTTACTGCTTGAGCAATTTCTGTTTGAGAATAGCATGCATTTTATTGAAGACCTTTCTTGAACTGGCTTTGACAGCTTGAATGGAATCTCAGGTACCTCCTCCCATGAAAATCTGCTACCATGAAGTTGGAAGGCAGGCAATTTATAGAAGGAACGGTTATTTAGACTTCTTCCAGCCTAATCAAAATAAAGATCCATGGATTGTATCAAAAGTGCTAATCATCTAAAAGATGCTAAAATGATAACTATCTGAGGTATGGAAAGATGAAACCACAGGTCCCTGACTTCTCTCTTCTCTTTGTTGTCTTTGGCATTGGTCTTTGAATGCAATCTACCTATCTAAATATTGACAGGGTCATTCTGTTTTGTTTCAAGGAATACTTTTCTCTGGCTTTTAAAATAGTGTTGCCAAACTTGAAAGCAGCTTTCTCTATCCTGCTGCTCTTGTTAGCTGTCTGAGGGATTATGGAAGTGGAATTTCAACACATCTGGAGGCACCAGGTTGAGGTAAAGTAACTATCTATTGTCTTACTGCTGCAGTTGAGAAAAAGGATAGAGACAGAAGCTACAAGGAAGATATATGATCTCTCTTCCTGACGCTTGGTGTTCCTTTCAGGGGAAAAAGTTTGTAAAGATTTGCAGAGATACAGAGCCAATGTGAGAACAACACTTGTCCTGGGAGAAGGTATGTAACCTACTCGATCTTTTTCCCCACCCCCTTTTACTCCTGTGCACTTTTCTGGCAGACATCCTTGAGCATTTGAGACGGATGTGAGAGAATTTCAGTCCTCACTGGAAAACAAGCCAACTAAACATAACAGATTACATCAGCTCAGGCTTTTCAATTCCTGGATGGTAGCAGCGTGCTAATCCAAACTTCATCCTGGATTTCGCAAAGTAAAACAAGGGAGGCTGGCAAGAGGACAGATTGAGGAAACTGACGACGGCAGGCCTTGTGGGCAAGAGGCTGTATAAAGCTCCAAAATTTGTAAGCTGATCTCCAGAACTTCCACATTGAGTTCCTCACTCCTGCATCCCTGAACAGAAGACATCTGACTGAACTTTTGCAACCTGTCATTGAGGGCGGTGGAATTGGGCTTTCATCCCACCAGGAGCCATGGCCAGTTTTCTGGTGCTCACTCTACTTCTGGTACCCATGAATGTTAGAGCTACCTGGAGTGCCAACTATGCAGTAGATTGCCCGGAGTCCTGCAACAGCAGTGAATGTAAAAATCCGCAACATTGCAAGCGCACTGTGTTGGATGACTGTGGCTGTTGTAGGGTGTGTGCTGCAGCTCTGGGAGAAACTTGCTACCGGACAGTTGCAGGAATGGATGGTGTCAAATGTGGGCCCGGACTGAAGTGCCAATTCTTTTCTGAAGAAGATGATTTTGGAGATGAGTTTGGTATCTGCAAAGGTAAAGAATGGTTATTGGATAACATTATCTATCATGACAATTAATGGTCAATGTATAGTTGTTGGAAATTGCTCCAATATACGTATATACACTGGATGTGTGTGTGTGTGTGTGTGTGTGTGTGTGTGTGTGTGTGTGTTGCTCCAATGTATATAAATACCTGCAGATTTATGCTGAAGTAGAATAATTATCCTATGATTGAAAAAGATAGTTATTGACAGTATTCATATACCTAGCACATGTATCTTCATTTTACCAGAGTTCTGCAAAATGGTTCCAAATTTCTCTGCTTAGCAGATTGGAAAAGATTGACTAAAGTACCCAAGAAGTTGAGCATTTAATCCTAATTCTACTGGCACTCTACTACCCATGGGGAAACAATATGCAAATATTATCTGAGAGATTTATAAAAGTATTTCAAAACTGCTTACGTCAGTATTCTTTCTCAGATATATAATGTATTTTTATATGTGCGGCTATCAAGAGAATAACACCTGCATTTTATAACGTGGACATAAGCTTTAGAAGGAAAGCATAAATATGGTGAATTAATCTTGGTTCTCTTCATATTGTATACATCTTTCACCTATATATTATGTAAAAAGCAGAAGTAGAATTCTAGAGTAAAGATAGAGCATGGCGGATGCCCAATGAGTACATAATTCGAAATAAAAACTGGAAAAGGACATGAATAAAATAAATCTCAGAGACTTCTAACTCTAAACAGCAACCTCTGAACCCACATTTTGTTGTTCAATAAGTAAACAAGGCTACCAATATGATTTTAAACTCCCACTAGAGGAATGTTGATAAAACTCCCCTTCTCCTTTAAAATATGCTGGGAGATAATAAGGATCCTTCAGATACAAGGTTCTGAAATCTTCTAAAATATACTGTAGTCATTTGAATGCCTTTACAGAGATTTTCTTGACTGTTAAGAACAATTTATGTAACTATCAGGTCACTGCCAATAGGAAGTAAGAGAATGAGATGCTTCTGTTATCCAAAATAAACATTCTGAACATTCTTTCTCTCTCCCCTTTCCTCTGACAGAATGTAATTTCTATCCACTGTCTAAATTGATAAATCCAGTTCAGTCTTAGCCAATTAAATTATTTACATAACCTGTAAATTGGTTATTAGCTCTTGCAAACATGGGGGTTTCTTCATGTGTCCTCCTTCTATTAGTAACAAAGAAAAAAAGGATTTCTATTATTCAAATACCAGTAATCATTTTTGGTCATATAAGGTGTAAGCTTGCACTGTAAACAGATACACATATAAATCCGGTTTAAAGTATAACATGTTTGGTATATTTTTTTACAAGTTTCCAACTTCAAAATACCAATGTTGATGATGATAGTATATCTTGCTTTCCTGCGTATACTAGTACCTAAAAGTTGGTTAATATGTTATGTACTGCTGTGTACTAAAGCAATTAACACTTCCCTGCAACTAGATTAAATTGTTTAGTTTAAATAATTTGCATTTTGGAAAAGGAAGGCCCATACATATTGCAGCCATTAAACTTTTGATCCATCTAGATTCAAATCTCAATTTTAGATGTTGGTTCATATCTCAATTCAAGAATGCTTTTGACAGTCAGCCTAAATATTTCACAAGGCTGTTAAAGTAATTAGAATGTTAGAATGGAATAGAGCTGGAAGGGACTTTGGAGGTGTTCTAATCCAGCCCCCTGCTCAAGCAGGAGTACCTATACTATTTCAGATAAATGGCTATCTAGTTTTTTCTTTAAAACCCCCAGGAATAGAATGCCCACAATTTCTGAAGGCTAATAATAATGAATAATGATACCAAATAACTTCTTTTTAAAACACCCAGTATTGAGTAACGTCTAGGATAACTTAATTTTACTAGAACAAAATCAACAAAGCCATGACTATTAGTAACAATAGGACTGTCAGGTTTGAGCTGCAAAAAGCCATGAGATCACAGGATGGGAGCAAAGAGACAAGGAAAATAAACCAATAGCAATAGCAATAGCAATTAGACTTATATACCGCTTCATAGGGCTTTCTGCCCTCTCTAAGCGGTTTACAGAGTCAGCATATCGCCCCCACAGTCTGGGTCCTCATTTTACC